GCCGACCTGTCCCAGCAACCGAGAGACCCACGGTGCCGAATTGACCGCGCACCACCACAAAGGCCGGCCCACAGGGTCTGGAACGCCGTGCAGAGCACGTTAATGCTGAACTCCGCCCCAGACGACCTGTGGGGCGTCCCCATGTACACCATCTCTTACGTGCTTTCCTTCCGAACCGCCGAGATGGCGAGCAAGGACTTGGGAAACGACACCTCCAGCCTTGAGGAGGCCCAGAGGTTCTTGCGAGCGCGCGCAGCCGCTACCTTGGACATCCGGGTCACCGACCCCGACGACGTCAGGGAAGGGCGGCAGCTGACAGCGCCCGCGATCACAGACGACGAACTCGAGCGATGCCCAGGGCACGTCTTCCAGAGGCCCCTTCCGCCCCCGCCGCCCGCCGACGCCTCGGCAGCAGCCGCCAGGCACGACCTCAACGACCTCAACGAGGCGCAAACCAGAGTCCTGCAGCAGTCCCTCAAGACTCTGACACTGCTCGTGCGCGGCCCCCGTGGCACAGGGAAGGCTAAGACAATTGCCGTTGCCTTTGACCTCTGGCTGCCGTGCGCGCCCCCAGACTGGGCCGTCGGCGTCTTCTCCGGCTCCAACACAAGAGCTGACATGCTGAAGGGCGTCCAGCGCGTGGGAAAATCGAGCCCCGATTCAGGATTCCCTCTCCAGGCCGTTAGACTGGCGTACCCAGACGAAGTGACAAACCAGGGGGCCCGCGATCTCACAGTGGAGCGCTTCAGGGCAACCTGCAGCTTTGACCTTTACATCGAGGGCGGCAAGAAGGCCCTCGCCAGGGGGAAAAAAGAAGCACGTCCAGGATGCCAAGCTATTCCTGGCCACGCACGAGATTGCCGCGGACCAGGGTAACCCCGACTGCCCAAAGTTACTCCTTGGCATCCTGGACGAAGCAGGACAATCTACCAAGGCCCTCGCCATCAGCGGTGGCGAGAATCAGCGGTGACGAGAATCAGCTCAAGCCCGCAGTCATCTCCGACCGGGCCGCAGCCGCGGGCGCGTCCCTCTCCGTGCTCAAAAGGTTCCGCGATTCATTGGGGGCCGACCTGGAGCGCGACGTGCTCCCCGACTGGTGCTACCGCGTGCACCCAGGCATCTTGCAGCGGCTGTCCTATAGTTCTCGCGAAGGCAAGCTCGTGTCGGGGTTCGCGAACTGCTCCGCCCGGAAGCCCGCGTGGGCCCCCATGGTGAGCGTCCACGCCGTTCGCGCGCAACGACCTGAAGGCCCCTGGCAGCGGTGGGCTCAGTAATCCGCGCCTAGTCGGACCTGGAGGCTTCCGCTACCCAGGTCACGGTGCCCCCCCTGGTTATCGGATTCGCGTTCTCCAAGTCCACCAGAGGTCAGCCGAAATGGCGACCGACCTGGCCGAGGGCGTCGCTTACCTATGGGGGGCCGCAACGGTGTGCGACATCGCCAAGTCAGTTGCGGGCCACCTCCTTGGAGCAACAAGCGCGCCCTGGTCCTCTGCCAGATGCGAAGTGCAGCCGGTCTTTGTCGGGGGAGGCCAACCCATCGACGCACCGGGCCACAGTGGCTGCGTTCGCATGCGGTTCCGCCCCCAATTCGGCGCACCCCTCACGCGTTTCGTGGCCCCACAGTGAGTTCCACCGAAGGCCCCAGTGGCTGCGTTCGCATGCGGTTCCGCCCTTGTTTCGGCGCGCCCCTCGCACGTTTCGTGGTCCCATAGGGAGCTCCGCTGAAGGCCCCAGTGGCTGCGTTCGCGCACGGTTCCGTTTCCCATTCGGCACGCCCCCGCGCGCTTCGTGATCCCATAGGGAGCTCCACCGAATGCCCCAGCGGCTGCATTCGCATGCGGTTCCACCGCCCATGTCGGCACGCCCCTCGCGCGTTTCGTGACCCCACGGGGAGCTCCACCGAAGGCCCGCATGCGGAACCGTTCGCCGTCCGCACCTCCAAGGTCGCCCGGGCGGGCTTCACGTTCTCTCGGGGGAGCGTAAGACCCGGGTTTGCCAGGACTCGGGTTCGCCATGGTTTTTTTGACGACCGCGCCTCGGATTTTGACGAGGAGGAGTTTCGTGGGATGTCTGCAGCGGGAGGCCTCGTCAAAATGCAGGCTCGGCCTCGTCATTACCTAACATCGAAGACTGATAGGTTTCTAGTAGTCTCAAAAGAGAGCAGCACATTACTTCAACATTACTTCAACATTACTCCACAGGGGGGTCTGGGCAGCCGTTGGGGGCAGTTGGGGGGCAGTTGGGGGGCTGTTGGGGTTTGCCGGCGGGGATCGTTTTTCGCATGCAGTCACACACTTCGTGCCCACTTCGTGCTCTTCGATTTCCCAGAACTCCATTCCCGGGCCACATTTTGGATGCCCGGAGCCAACTGTAGGCCACTTCGTGCTCTTCGACTTCCCAGAACTCCATTCCAGGGCCACATTTTGGATGCCCGGAGCCAACTGTAGGCCACTTCGTGCTCTTCGACTTCCCAGAACTCCATTCCCGGGCCACATTTGGATGCCCGGAGCCAACTGTAGGCCACTTCGTGGTCTTCGAGTTCCCAGAACTCCATTCCCGGGCCACATTTTGGATGCCCGGAGCCAACTGTAGGCCACTTCGTGATCTTCGAGTTCCCAGAATTCCACTCCTGGGCATGATTTTGAATGCCCGGAGCCAACTGTAGGCCACTTCGTGTTCTTCGAGTTCCCAGAATTCCATTCACGGGCCACATTTTGAATGCTGAGGCAGGCTGAGGCTGAGGCTGAGGCAGGCTGAGGCTGAGGCAGGCTGAGGCTGAGGCCGAGGCTGAAGGCAGACTGAGGCTGAGGCAGAAGCAGGCTGAGGCTGAGGCAGAGGCAGGCTGAGGCTGAGGCAGGCTGATGCTGAGGCAGGCTGAGGCTGAGGCTGAGGCTGATGCAGGCTGAGGCTGAGGCAGGCTGAGGCTGAGGCTGAGGCCAAGGCTCAAGGCAGACTGAGGCTTTGGCTGAAGCAGGCTGAGGCTGAGGCTGAGGCTGAGGCTGAGGCAGGCTGAGGCTAGGCTGAGGCAGGCTGAGGCTGAGGCAGGCTGAGGCTGAGGCTGAGGCTGAGGCTGAGGCTGATGCTGATGCAGGCTGAGGCTGAGGCAGGCTGAGGCGGAGGCCGAGGCTGAAGGCAGGCTGAGGCTGAGGCTGAAGCAGGCTGAGGCTGAGGCTGAGGCAGGCTGAGGCTGAGGCTGAGGCAGGCTGATGCTGATGCAGGCTGAGGCTGAAGCAGGCTGAGGCAGGCTGAGGCTGAGGCAGGCTGAGGCTGAGGCCGAGGCTGAAGGCAGATTGAGGCTGAGGCTGAAGCAGGCTGAGGCTGAGGCAGAGGCAGGCTGAGGCTGAGGCTGAGGCAGGCTGATGCTGAGGCTGGCTGATGCTGAGGCTGGCTGAGGCTGAGGCTGAGGCTGATGCAGGCTGAGGCTGAGGCAGGCTGAGGCTGAGGCCGAGGCTGAAGGCAGACTGAGGCTGAGGCTGAAGCAGGCTGAGGCTGAGGCTGAGGCAGGCTGAGGCTGAGGCTGAGGAAGCTGAGGTGAGGCAGGCTGAGGCTGAGCTGAGCTCATGCAGGCTGAGGCTGAGGCAGGCGGAGCTGATGGCCGAGGCTGAAGGCAGACTGAGGCTGAGCTGAAGCAGCTGAGGCTGAGGCTGAGGCAGGCTGAGGCTGAGGCTGATGAGGCTCCGGTGAGGCAGGATGAGGCTAAGGCTGAGGTGATGCAGGCTGAGGCCTGCGGCTGCGGCCTGCGGCAGGCTGAAGGCTGAGGGAGGCTGAAGGCAGGAGGCTGAAGGCGACTGAGGCTGAGGCTGATGCAGGCTGAGGCTGAGGCAGGCTGAGGCTAAGGCTGAGGCTGATGCAGGCTGAGGCTGCGGCAGGCTGAGGCTGAGGCTGAGGCTGAAAGCAGACTGAGGCTGAGGCTGAAGCAGGCTGAGGCTGAGGCTGAGGCAGGCTGAGGCTGAGGCTGAGGCAGGCTGAGGCTGAGGCAGGCTGAGGCTGAGGCGGAGGCTGATGCAGGCTGAGGCTGAGGCAGGCTGAGGCTGAGGCCGAGGCTGAAGGCAGACTGAGGCTGAGGCTGAAGCAGACTGAGGCTGAGGCTGAGGCAGGCTGAGGCTGAGGCTGAGGAAGGCTGATGCTGAGGCAGGCTGAGGCTGAGGCTGAGGCTGATGCAGGCTGAGGCTGAGGCAGGCTGAGGCTGAGGCCGAGGCTGAAGGCAGACTGAGGCCGAGGCTGAAGCAGGCTGAGGCTGAGGCTGAAGCAGGCTGAGGCTGAGGCTGAGGCAGGCTGAGGCTGAGGCATGCTGAGGCTGAGGCTGAGGCAGGCTGAGGCTGAGGCTGTGACTGCGACTGCCGTTGCCACTGCGACTGTCATCGCGAATGCGACTACGACTGCGAAAACAACAGAATTCTACAACTGGATTCTCATCCGAATCTTAAGGGGAATGCTTCCAGATATGCTCCTACACATCGATGTTAGGTTGCTTTGCCGGGATAATTTTTTACCTAACATCGAAGACTGATAGGTTTCTAATAGGGTAAAAAGAGAGCAGCACATTACTTCAACATTACTTCAACATTACTCCACAGGGGGGTCTGGGCAGCCGTTGGGGGCAGTTGGGTGGCAGTTGGGGGGCCGTTGGGGTTTGCCGGCGGGGATCGTTTTTCGCATACAGTCACACACTTCGTGCTTTTCGATTTCCCAGAACTCCATTCCCGGGCCACATTTTGGAAACCCGGAGCTAACTGTAGGCCACTTCGTGCTCTTCGATTTCCCAGAACTCCATTCCCGGGCCACATTTTGGATGCCCGGAGCCAACTGTAGGCCAATTCGTGCTCTTCTATTTCCCAGAACTCCATTCCCGGGCCACATTTTGGATGCCCGGAGCCAACTGTAGGCCACTTCGTGTTCTTCTATTTCCCAGAACTCCATTCCCGGGCCACATTTTGGATGCCCGGAGCCAACTGTAGGCCACTTCGTGTTCTTCGACTTCCCAGAACTCCATTCCCGGG